CCTGTGATCCCAGCACTTTGGGAAGCCAAGGCGGGTGAATCACCTGAGGTCAGGAGGTTGAGACCAGCCTGGCCAATATGGTAAAACCCCGTCTCTACCAAAAGTACAAAATTAGCCGGGCATGGTGGCACGCACCTGTAATCCCAGCTACTCAGGAGGCTAAGGCAGGAGAAGCTTGAACCTGGGACGCAGAACTTGCAGTGAGCTGAGATCATGACACTGTACTCCAGCCTCGGCAACAAGAACAAGAACCATGAGCTCACAGGGACACGAGGTCCCACCTGAACTCCAGCAGCAAACCCACGGGGCCAGTGAGTGCCCACGAGGCAAAGGCTCAGAGCAAGGTGGGAGGGCAGGAGCCGCTGGCGGGCGAGGCGGGGCCTTCAATAGACAGGCTCAGAGCCACGGGGAGGCTGAGCAGGTTTCGGGCCTGCGTGTGAGAGCCTGCTCTTCAAGTCATGGGAAATCCTTTCTGAAGGAAGAACCTAAGTACTGCCGGGCGGGAGGAAGGGGAGAGAGGCGCCATGAGAACGGAAACCTGTCCCATCTTCCCGACAACACCTGCACCACCCGGGCCCCGCAGCAGGAGTCCCACTGACGCAAAGCGTTCGACACTGAACCCACAAAGGAAGAAATGAAAGACTCAGCCCGGGCCGAAGGCAGCACCAGGCTGAGGGCCTGACCCACACTAGGGCCCCAACTGGCCATGGGGGCCTGAAATTTACCCAGAAAAGTGGGCCAAGAGTGGGTCCAGGGCAGGGCAGGCGAAGAGGACCTGCTATGCCTAGAATCAGCCGCCCCCGCTGGACACTTGGCCTGAACACCTGACCCTGCACTGTCCCTGCAGCTTCAGGGACCACGTTCAGTAAAGGAGGGCGACGCTCAAAGGCCATGAAACAGAGGCACACAGGAGCCTCGGCTGAAGTTAACATACATCTAAGAAATAAACTCCCAGCTGGGCACAGTGGCTCACACCTGTAATCACAGCACTTTGGGAGGCTGAGGCAGGCGGATCACAAGGTCAAGAGTTCAAGACCAGCCTGGCCAATATGGTGAAACCCCATCTCTACCAAAAATAAAAAATTAGCCGGGCGTGGTGGCAGGCGCCTTAGTCCCAGCTACT